GAAATTATTAAATAAGTATTTTATAATTACGAAGTTGGTGCCAAGTAAATATTATGTTCCTGGCTTACAAACTAATTGTCAATAAAAAACAGATTATGAGAGAGCGCTGAATACAACTTAGACATGTACCCAAATTATTGGATTAAAAGTTCTGCTTAAAATTAATGATGAGCGTTGTTTATTACATTTGTTAAAGATTATGGTTGTGTTTATTATCTTAAAATATGAATATACTTCATGGCTATAATAAGTTAAAGTACCGGATTTATTAAAGGAGTTTAGCCCTAAATCTCAAGGAGAAGTCATTGTGCGTCTCGACTCGAGGGTCTAGTTCCGCTATCCGTCGCGTGGCGCGCGCGTGTCGCATCTCAAATTCCCCCGATGGTCGTTCAGGGTTGATTTTATACCCATTGTTTTCGTTTCCTGCGTTTACCGAACGGGGTCTTTTGACACATCGTTAAGAAGAAACAAGACACTGGCAATTCCGTGCGCACGATACAATGAATGTGACGTAAAAAATAAACTTCCTTTATTGTCGACCTCATAGATATTCTTTGCCTCATAGCGGATGTTGATTTTGAAAAGAAATGTTAAACCGAAATTGTTAATGCGTATGAAATACATTTTATCCTTGCGTTTATTTTAGCTTGTCTTTGTTTTGTATAAGGCAGCTTGTAGCAGGTAATAAATTAACATTAATTGAATGTGTGTATGTAAGTATTATGTGGGAAGTCGATGGATGCAGGTGGCTCAGGATCGTAATTCGTGGCACTATATGGGGGAGGCCTATGTTCAGCAGTGGACTCAAACAGGCAGAAATGATGCTGATGTCTGTAGTTGCTAAGCCGTTGGCTTCGGTGCCGAGAGTCATGGTTTCGACTATCACACGGGACAAGTATATATGTGACGAATTATTGTTCCGGAGCTGGACGTTTGTTCTGAAGGAGGGTTGACGTAAGAGAGAGAGCGGCCGGTGTTATTCCTGCGTTATTGTGAGTGGGTATATGTATTATATTTTTGTTGGAAGGGTTTTGTTAGGTCTGAACGATAACTGCGAACTAGAAGATCTCTTGTTGTTTTCCATTGGAAAACATTGCCCCCTTACTGTAGGATTGTTAGGACGTTTTACATGCATAAATGTCACATGAACAAACACCCAGATGTGAAAACAATTAAACAATTAACAAAAACACAAAAGGGAAATTGAATGAATTAGACTAATTTAAAAGTAGAATTTATATGTTATTAGATATTATATCAATATATATACACATAAAGGCGTCGTTTACGTAATATTACATAATTATCTAAATTTTTTTAAGTGCCGGATCCTGATTGTTACTTAGTTGCTTGCTGCACAAAAAGGTTTTTGATTATTAATATTTTTAATATCCGTATTTGGTATCTAGATTATTGAATTGTACTGAATAAAACCCACGTAGCATATATAAAATGATCAAACAACGGTTATTCTCGTATCCAACGTGGCATCTAAAATAATAAAACTGCGAATTGTTCGCCGTTTAAAGTTAATTTCAACGGTACCGTAAAAGCCTCGTCACACGAACGAAACCCAATAAATCGCAATTATTCCGCGGCATATTTCCCTCCGGCGTCCTTAATTAGAGTACTTTAAGCTTCAATTACCGCTGTCAAAACATATTAGCGGGGGCGAATGGCTACATTTTCGCCAGATTGACGCCACGCGGCGGCGGCCCGGCCCCAATAGAAGCCAGTTTATTCGATACAATCAGTATTGTGATTGTCCGTCGTTCCCGCGTAATTTAATTCTCTCAAACATTTACAAGATTGTTTGTTGTGTTTGAAAGTGAAAAGGTTTAACTTTAAACAACCATTCGGAACTTTTAAATGTTAAATAAGTACGACTATATTATTTACCAAGAGACGTGATCGAATGTAATTTTTTTATTACAATAATTATATTGGAAAACAACGGCATTGTTTACTGTAGGATAACATTGTCCGGTGTTGTTAGGAAGTTTTACTTGGACAAAATACTACATATATAATATGAAACATTCATATGAAACAATTATCTGTGGGTCACAAAAATAGTTGTCCCGTGCGGGAATCGCAACCACGATCCTCGGCGCCGAAGGCAGTGCCTTGGCAACACAGACTGTCTTACCACGCAATGGCGATTCCCACACGAGACACGTTTTTTGTGACCCGCAGACAATTGTTTTAGATCTGGCTTCTTATACATAAAGAGAGTTAACGTCAAGTAGGCGGCCGGCCGAACAAAACCTAGCCAATACCATTAAAAACATATTCCACATGTTGTGTCGACCAAAACTAGTTGGTATAAGGGCAGGACAAAGAAGCAGACGCAAATCTAATTTCGAAGTGTACATGTTAAAAGCATTCAAAGCCTGTATGATATCCAATCAACAGAAAGGTGGGACCCCTAAATGTCTAGGGTTCTCTAGGATGTCTTAGGATTAATAATTAAAATACTTATGTAATTATTGAAATCGTCGAACAGAACCATGCCTTTTTGTCGTCGGTTAAAAAAAACCTAAATAGCGTCTGAACAGCAAAAGCGTTATCTCCATCTGTTAAACCTAAGTGCTGCAAGAGTTATTATAAACTCACCCGTCTCCACGGTACTTCGTGAGGCTCCATAATGACGGTGGTGCGAACATCGCACCTACTCCGTCTGCTCCTACGGATCTAGAGCGCTGGACGTGACAGTTAGGTGTAAAAAAAATTTCTTTTATATTATTAAATGTTAATAATGTAAAAGATAATTATATTATCAATATTTATCTTATTAATGTAAAAAAATTATCTTTTATTTTTTATATTATTAATATAAAAGGTAATTCTTTTACACCTCTCCGCCGTGTGGTTTCGGTATAAAAATAAGCCACCCCTTCTCATCCCGTGGGTGTCGTAAGGGGCGACTAAGGGACAAGCCACAAACATCTGGTGGGCTCCCTTAGATGGCGGGATAACCATCTCGACTTTCCAGACCCTAAATACCCAGGTCAATAATGTACAGCAGCGTTAAAGGTGCGAGGTATCTGGAAGAACTGCGGTTGCCAACCAGCTTGCCAGGCGTGGCAACTTTGGCAAAACCCCCTACATGATGGAAGTCCAATATGTGGGGCCCCCCAGTCCCCAAGGAATTTTCGAGTTAAAACAAAAAAAAGTCAGCCAATCCGTGGAACGTATAAGCTTAGGTTGTTATTTTACATTACTTACTCTAGTGTAAATTGTGATTGAGACCATCAGTTTCAGAGAAAAAGACGAACGCTGGAAAACTATAATATTAAGGGCTACTAGAGCTGAAATATAAACATGAGCAAAAACCGTTTAAAATGTGCAACTGCCACATCCAGCATAAGACTGATCCGTACCAAATCTGACCCCCACCGGTGTTGACACAACACTAAATCGTACGTGTTGTATCGATAATCAGGCAAACGCTGCCTCAGGTTAACCGTGCGAACACAACACTAATTAGTGCCTCTTCAATCTCGAGAGCAGTGATGACACTTAAAAGTTTTATGTTATTATTAAGTTAAGTTTATGTTATTAAGTTTTATGTTATAAAGAACAGAAACGGAACAGAGCGTAAGAGATGTTAATCTTTGTGGGATATTAAAACATTACTAAACGAAAAATTATTATTTGTAATTGATTACAAATAATTTAAATTATTATTATTTATCTGTAAAGATTTTCTAAGCCGATATCTCTTTTTCCAATTTTAATCCTTATCATATACAAATTAAATATTATTATTATCTTTTATTAATTTTCTGTACAAGTAGTAAAAAGAAATTGAAGATTAATATTTTAACTGCTTCAAACGAAGCTATTGCGGCTTTAATTACTCACATTGTTATTTTTGTACAGTTTACATTTTAATGAGCTTATAAATTTCTAAAAGTAAGAAGGGTCTCATTATGAATCGCTCCTCTTAGCTAGACGCTGATGTGATGGTTGTATTAATAATAATAAGTAAGTTATATGGTAAGTTAAGTCAAAAATAATTTAATAATTTATACTACAAACGGGAATAATTCTACTGTGGCAGAGCCACGCAGTCTTCGCTGTTGCACGAATGGGCAGGTCCGTCCGGGGTGGCCATGGAACTTCCCCAGACAAGCCGACCCTCTATGGAACAGTCTCCATCAACAACAGCTATAGAGCTGACTTGTTGATGGAGTCTGTCCTAACGTATTGACGATGTTTGGTTTTAGTTCATTCTGTATTTTACCTCTCAAATGATTACTATTATAATATTACATATTGGTAGAAGGTAGAAGGAGCTTTATCTAAATAATAAATATAACCTAAAACGCTACACTATATTGCTATTCAAAACCTACTCATGTGAATCAAACGAAATTTATTAGTGTTCTTCACCGAAAAGAAATCCTAGAAAAATCTATATCTATTCAACTAATTCATCAGACTCGAGTTGTACTGTTCACGAATGTTAAAACATTTTTCTTATACAGCGTGTCTTTACGCTACTTGCCAATAATCATAAAAAAATATTAATGTAAAAAAATCCATAATTAAAAAAATATTTTTCAAAAAAACAATATGTTGCAAATTTTGTTTCTTTTTTACTCAATTAGAGTAAAAAAGAAACAAAATTTGTAACATCCTATACAACTACATCTGACTGATTCATACATTCAGAGACTTTATCATTCGTTGCCACAGCGCCGCATTACAAGCCTCTCCTTCTAACAGTATGTTTTGTCTCTTTTACATTCATTCAACCCATTCATTATTTTGTGACCTTTATAAATGAACTTTACATTGAAGTTTTATATGTAAGTTGTTGAAGTTTTATATGTAGTTTTATATGTTCTAAAATTCTTTGTTTTGGAAAATTTAATAACTCGTTAAATATTGATGTTTAAAGAATGTAAATTTATAAAATATAATTTTAAAAAGTTATCCTCTATATGTGTGTTCATTTATTGTCGCGATGGTAAAGACACGCTGTATAACACATGAACCATTCACTACACGAGGAAACACTGCAGTTTTCCAAACAACGCGACACAACCACTTATAGCTCGGCGAACGTCACTTGTGCCGCCTCACTTCGCTGCGGGGATAACACGGGTAACTCTGTACAGCAATTTATTGTTAATTGCCGCAAGTTAACAAGGCGCTGTCGCCCCCCGGCCGTCACCGACGCTGCCGAGTGCTCGTTGAGTTACGTCGCCGGCTAATGAGTTTGTGACTTATCTCTCCACCGGCTGTCATCTCAAACGACGACGGTAGAGCGTCGTTGTTGTACAAGCTAAGCTAAGCTGTTTGCACGTGCTGCGCCTGTTAAAATTCACCGCTAAAGAGATTAATTGGCTATTAATACAAAAGTTGGAAAAGGAAGGTTCTCGAGTGGCAGCCTCGGACTGGCCATCGCAGTGCAGGACGACCCCCACTAGATGGAAGACCTGTGCAAATGTGCAGAGCAGAAGTCGATATAATTATGAAGATGGCCCAGGATCGTGCTTTGTGGCTTCGTGTGCGGGAGGCCTATGTTCAACAGTGGACTCAAACAGGCTGAAATGATGATGAATACAAAAATTTTAAAGTTGAATTGTTGCGTATCCCACAAAGACAGGTCTTACTCACAATATTTATAATGTGTATGAAAAGGCGAGAGTTAGAGACAGATGCAGTGGCGGGCACAGAGATTTTAAACAGGTTATGCAATTAGAAATCTTGATTGATTCGATCAATAATTACACTCAATAAACTGCGTAAGGGTGTGAAAGAAGCCTGCAGGGATGAGAATTGACAGGTGAAAATCCTCTAAAAAGAACAGCGAAGAACTCCTTCCAAGGATGATTCACAATTTGGATGTAATAAAGAATTTTTCTAATTTCAATAGATAAAATGCATATTCCCAGCACCGTCCGGGCATACCGCCCCTAATTCATAAAATAAAATGCAAGCACTCGAATAGCCTTCATGGCACAATAAGCTTATTCAGATCAGAAAGGTAAAAGTTGTCGATAGTCCAGGTTGCCAACGACATTAGACTGTAAACACCTAAGTGACCCACTGCTGGCCAAAGGCCTCCTCTGCACAGAAGGTTTTAGGACATAGTCCACGCACCCCACTGCGGATTGACGGACTTTACATATCTTCGAAATATTTTTTCTTCTTAATATTTCCAAAATATGTAGGTTTCCATGCGGTGCTTTCCTTCACCACTGAGCACGTGATAAGTCAGCACTAAATTAACCACCACTCAATCGAGCGCCCGGAAAATAAGCTATCCCGACTCTAGCCTATGACGGCTCAAGCGATAATAAAAAAAAAATAAGCAGCAAGTTAACATAATTATCGTAAGGATCCAAAAAATCTTGAATCCACCTTTTTGAATCGTTAAAGCCATTGCTTCACTTGCATAAAAAGGTCTAAATACGATAGAAATGTTTTAAGTGATACAGAAAATTGTCGTGATACTATTGAAGTGTACAAAATATAGTGTTCCTCAAAAATTCTTCGATTAATGGATCTATTAAGCTTTTAAATCGATACTCGTTGGAAAAACAAAAGAAAAGTTAAATACCTAGTTAATTGGAAACGGTTCAAACGTGTTATTAGATTTTGGGTACTTGCTAACAAATCGGGTTTTGGTGTCGTGACTGGGCAAGTATTTAATGGCCTACAGTTAATTATAAATATTATCCGGATCCTATACATCTCCATATGCAGTTAGACATAACAAGTTCTTTTTATGACGAAAATCAAAACCGACTTAAAATCTCAATCTGTATTAATTTTATAATTGATTTTCAGGAGTTTCCTAAGTATCTCCGAAGCCCAAGATCCAATAATAATGAAATGAATATGGAACCACATGGGAAGCACCAGCTTTCAAGTAAATAAATAAATAAATATTTCGGACACATTTCTTACACAACATTCTCTAGTCTTAAACTAGGCAACGCTTGTACTATGGGTACTAGAAAACTGATAAACCTACTTAAACATACTTTTCTTTTGTAAATAAAGACATATTATACATATATAAACACCCAGACACTGGAAAAACACGATGTTCATCACACAATATGTTTTCCAGTAGTGGGGATCGAACCCACACCCTCTGGCGCAGGAGGCAGGGTCACTACTCCCCACGCCAATTGGGTCGTCAATAAAGAATCATCAAAATCATTTCACTCAGTCGAAAGTTATGAAGTAACAAAAATAAAAAAAATACAGTCGAATTGAGAACCTCCTCTTTTGAAGTCGATTGAAAATAGAGGATACGATCGTACGCTACAGTCAGCGGTATTACTAAAGAGAATTTAAAAAAGGTGGGTAGGTTTATTTTAATTTTAAAAACACCCGACGTTTCGAATGATTCCCCGTCCCCTTGATGGACTTTATCAAAGTATGTATCCGCGTGAATAAAAGTTAAGTGGGTAGGCATCGAGCGGGAGTTAATCGATCCGCGGAGACATTGCCGCGGCTACATAGCGCCAGTGTAAAACGCGCGGCGCTAACAATGCGGCGAACGGCGGAAAGTGACCCTAAATCTGTAAGCTTTTGATCCGTAATTGGCGAGGCGCGATTGGCCGAGGGACGGAAGGGGCGCACGCCCCGGCCCGCGATTGGCCGCCGAGAGGGCTGCACGCCCCGCCGCCGGATTAGGGTGAGATCGGGGTGGATATGGGATAAAACAATCTTGACACTTTCGAGTTAATCGGTGGCTTTGATTGTTTTATAATTCAAATTAGTACAACATTTGTTTTGTATTAAGAAATCAGTAAGCTGTCATCGGTTTTTAGAATGTGATAGTAATTCAAAATGTTCAATTAAATAACACGATTTGTATTAAAAGATTAATTTTGTTACACCCTTCGTTCCATACATAATACAAATTTAATATAATATAGTATTCAACGATAAATATTGCATATCGAAGTCTGGAACGAGATAATTTTGGCTTAATTCGGTTTCCTAGAGTTATCTCTTTTATACACTACCTATGTTACGTTTATCAGCTTTTTTGGCTTCCAGCGTCAGAGATAACGCTATGTAATAGTACTCGCCGATTAATATAAAGGTAAATTACACAAGAACTAAGAACACAAATACACCTTAGGGCAAAATATACAGCGTGTATTTACAATCGCGAACACACATATAGAGGATAAATTTTTAAAATTGCATTAAACATTTACTTTCTTTAATCATCAATATTTACAGAGTTATTAAATTTTCCAAAACAAAGTATTTTAGAACACCCTTACGTATAAACCTGTAACGTAAAGTTAATTTGTAAAGGTCACAAAGCATATGAATGGGTTGAATGAATTTAAAGGAGACAAAACATACTGTTAGAAGGAGAGCCTTGTAATGCGACGCTGTGGCAACGAATGAAAAAGTCTCTGAATTTATGAATCATTCATTGTAGTTGTATTTATGTTACAAATTTTGTTTCTTTTTTAATTAATTAGTTTGTTTGAAAAATGTTTTTTGTAATTATGATTTTTAGGTTAATATTTTTTTTTAATGATTATTAGGCAAGTAGCGTTAGACGTGTGTTCATTTATTGTCGCGATGGTAACGACCCGCTGTATAGTGTAAATACAAAAATTGCGACGATGATAAGGAAATCTACTTACTATTGTGGCAAAAGTAAATACAGGCAATAAACTTTTTCAAGTGCTGTTGATATCACTTCAGCAACTAACCGCCGTCATTCATTATTTCTACAAACCAAAAACGAATCTAGCGGAACTAGATCGGAGATTCAATTAGGTATTCTCATGAAGATTTGACAACGGACGTATTATAAAAGAATATTTTGTCTTTATTTAAAAAAATGTTTAACTTGAGTTTTAAAAAACAAATGTTACAAATAGATAAAGGGCCGCGTTTGCTAAACCAAAATCATGTTTAAAAAGTTGATAGCACTACACGTATAGCATCTACTTCGCTGTTAGATCTGTAGCTAGTGATAATTGGGGGAAATAGTTGTTGAACATCTTTCACGTCGATAAGTAACTTCCGATGCCCAGCCTACTTCTAAGTGGTCGACGTATCAAGATTGTTCGAGCCGACGCGCCTCCGCTTTGCGCGGGATGATCCCGTCGAGCGGGTTACGTCGTCTTACGGTAATACGACCCCCCGTCCGCCGCGATATGTACAGGTATAAGGCTGTTTACACCACAGACACAGTGTGGCCGAAAATACCACGTAAATTCAGCGCTTTACCTCCGTTACGAGCCGTAGAGCTCATCTCTCTAATATTAGCCACGCGTAATAACTGACGTTTACGTGCTTGTAAACGTACATTCGTATATGTTATTGGGAATCCGCAAATGGTGAACACTTTACGATATTGTTAGATAGAGTACCGTTGTAATCTTAGTTATTCGGGGGACGCCCGTTACTCAATACGTTGGCGGAGTCGCCATAGAGTTAGCCAATAAACGTATTTTATTACCGTTACTCTTATTATATAGAATCGTAACGTAGGGGACACAACAACAACAATTATAGACACCTTAAGCTGCATTAACAAGCAACGGTTCATTTAAACGCTAAAAATACATCGTAAACGATGAATTTTTCGTCCTTAAGTTCTCCTATGTGCACCAGTCTTAACAACATCGAATCTAAGTGTACAACTCTGCTTTGGGATCATTCGATAACTTAAGATACGCTCGCTCTGAATGGACAATATGTTGTAAGGAACTCTCAGTTCCGTTCGCATTTCCATAGGGAGGAAAGTTTACAAGTAATTCCTACAAACATCTGTGTCATAGTGTATAACGAAAGTTAAGAAAGTTAAATAAAATCCTTACTAATCTTATAAACGCGAACGTTTGTATGTATGGATGGATGTTTGTTACTCTTTCACGCAAATACTACTGAATGGATTTAATGAAACTTTACAATAACATATTTTATACATCAGAATAAGTCCCACGCTGTAATTTATATACATATTTTATGTATAACTGTCTTTCTGTATGAACGTTACGCCTTTAGCCTATTCTATGCAGACGTAATTGCGGGCAGCAGCTAGGATAATATATACACGAGACTAAACCCGTATATTATACGGGTTTTGCCTCGTATAAAGGTGTAATATTCGCGTAAATAAAAAGAAACGTTTAAAGAAAACGTTTAAATATCTTTATTTTACGCGACTGTCGAAGGAGAGTAATGATTTTTAAGCGTGGTAAGTAAAACTGACATTCATGGGCACTCTCAATCAGGAGTCGCTCGCAGTTTTCGCGCTTAGTTACAACGAACGCCAAACACGGTGAAAAACTATGAGTTAAATGAAAATGTAGAAATTAAAATAAATGCATAAGGAATACATATAAAATAACGTATGGCGAACTATCGAATTTAATTTAATAGCAATCAGTACATTATTTGGTAGACATATTAAATAAATAATTTGACTATGTGCGACAGATTTCCATATAATAGTTCGAATCTGAAACTGTCGTCGCAATAAATGTACCTGAGCTTGGGACATTTACATCATTACAGATCTAGAAAACTAAAAGTATTTTCTAATCTCGGTTAAGCATTGAATTTATTCTCGTACATAGAAGTACTGAAGGATTTTATGTAGAAGTCCTGAAGAAGAAAAGTGGGCCAGCATCTAAACAATACATGATGTAATTTTATTTCTTCGAATTCTATTCCATTTAGTTCCTTAGATTTTCAATTGTTGTAAGATTCTGTTAATTAAGAAGATTTAATGGTGCAACTAATGATTTATAGTGAAGAAAATTTTAAATTAACTTAATCTTTAGTCTTTATTATAAATCATTATTTTTTTGTTTCATTGTATCACAATATTTCCAACATTTCAAGAATACTATACTCATTTCATCCTTACTAATTCTTACTTAATATAATCCTACTAATATTATAAAGGCGAAGGTTTGTATGTATGGATGGATGTTTGTTTCTTTTTCACGCAAATATTACTGAATGGATTTTGCTGAAAGCTTTTTACATCAGAATAACACGTAGGCTACAATTTATATACATATTTTTATGTTTATCTGTCTTTCTGTCTGAATGTTACGCGTTCAGCCTATTAGCCTACGTAGTCGCGGGCAGGAGCTAGTTGTAAATAAAACTACGATTACTATAGAAAAATGCAAATGTAAAAGGAAAAATTTATATTTGCAACCTTAAAACCATTAGTAAGACGGTAGTGAAAAAAACCAAAATCTACTTGCAAATAGCTCAGGAACGTCCGAAAAATTAAAACCCCCGCACCAAACATTACACTGACTAAATATCCCTCAGACAGCCCTGTGAGCTGAGGCACCCCATCCCTCTCTCGCTGGCGCCTCCCTCCGTCACTCCCATTCCATACAGAACGCGACAGTTTACCTCGGCCCGCGGACCAAATCGGCTCGTTTCCTCAAAACAACGAGCAAACTGACAATTATTACGTAATTATTATCGATTGCCCAATCCGCCGGCGGTAATACGGATGTCCCGCCATTAATTAAAACGAAAAACAAATTCGCGGGCTTTTCATCTGTCGTGACAGATTATCGTTTTTTTTTTATAATTGGATTTGTAGTCGTGTAGTTGCTTTTTTAATATATAACAACAATTGGTATTTTTTTATGTTAAGACGATTTCCTGTTGTAGATCTATATATATTAAATATATGGTACTTGAAAAAGTACAGAGAGTGCCGATATCTAAGCGTACTCTCAATTAACACGGTATTCTCTTAATGCGAACCGATTCTAAATAAGCCGAAAAGGTAAAATGAAATAAAGACGTGTCTGTACAAAAACATCAACGGAAATGGAGCAAGAAACGAGGAGTGGCTCGCCGATGGACTCGCACCGTCAGGAGCAGAATGCGAAGACTTCTTTTTTAATCGAAGACATACTGTACAGAGGGCAAAGCCGCGGGTTCAAACAGCCGATGCCCGACCCAAGGAGGTTCGATTACGAACGACCCGAACCGAAGCCCTTCTTCCCGGTGCCGGGGGAGGTCCGACCGCACGTCCCGGGGAGAGAAGGGTCCTATTTGCACGTGGCCATGGGGGCCCTGGGCGCGTACCTGCACACCCCGAACACGTACAAATCAGTGGAGACACCTTATTTCCTATCTCAAGGTATCCCCTTCGCATTCTATCTATAAATTTAAAAGAATCCGTCAAAATAAACATTAAAACATAATTTGGAATAATGTAAAACAAATATAAGAACAGCATAGAAATTTCTATTAAAGAATTTTATACAATATTACGATTTATGTTATTGATAACCACCATCGTAGAAGGTATTTACAGTATTCTGCAAACTTCAATTACTATTAGTAATATTTAGCATCTGTACTGTCAACTTTTATAAGTCAAAGATATTTATAACATCGATTTAAAGATATTATATTTATCTACTATAAACAGTAAGGATTGGCACATTCTGATGTTTTATTTTGTCTCTATAAAATGAAAAAAAAACAAAGTCTGTGTTTTTATCATTTGGTGTTTTTATCATTTCTCTCCTTAAGTCATTAATATATCATTCCAATTTTTAAACATTGTTAATAATACTCGCAGATTTATATTGGACTAATTTTCAAAACGGAAATATTTCTTTACTATTGAAAATAACTTTTCTAAAACAAATATCAGAGATAGGTAATCAATACTCAGAATTGCTAGAACGCTGGTCAAGAAGAACGATTCTGAAATACTTATCATCAAACACTGATCATTTTGATCAATTCAGAGTTTAGCACCTTTGACCTTTTAGCAACAATGACATTTGAAAAGCCACTTGACAGCATATTAGTTAACATCTAAGATGATCAGTGTTTCAGGAACCGGGCAATAGAATTAAAAAAAATTAATCCTGGCAATTTAAAAGTTCGAATAAAAAAGTACATTAATAAAAAAAAACACAATTCAAACTCTCAATTCGAACGCCAGGCGTGCCGTACCACGCGCTGTTCACGCCGTCGGAGCTGTCGCTGTCCGCTCTCAAGCACTGCCGCCGGAGAAAGGCCAGGACCGTGTTCTCGGATCCACAGCTCACCGGTACATAATCAATTTTATTACAACATTACCATACTAACTGTTAACCGCGGCTTCGCCCGCGCCTCCAAAGGGAATTAACAATGACTTTTTTATTTTACACCAGAATATCTCGCAGATGATGGCTGAATTCTTTCCTACTTACTTAATCTTATCATTACCGATATTTTGGACTATTCACACAATATCTTTATAAATTATAGCCTATGTGTTATTCTGATGTATAAGCTATATTATTGTAAAGTTTCATTAAAATCAATTCAGTAGTTTTTGCGTGGAAGAGTATCAAACATTCATCCATACATACAATCTTTTGCGTTCATAATATTAGTAAGGATTAAGAAAACCATATATAATTTTAGCATACCTGATTTACTGACTTTATAGTGGTATATTTTTTATTTTTAATCTCCGCCCATTTGGAATTTACAACGTTCGTAAACCGCTATAGAATTTGTGACTTCATTCTATATCATACGAAAAGCCGTGCTTCGATTTTGAAAATATTGTTCGAAATAGAGAAAGTGTTTAAAGCGATGATTTTCCGCGTGGTGCTGAGCGAGCCTGCCCAGTTGTAAACAGGATATATACACAGGGTATACGGGAACATGAATAAATAGTATCTTCCTTTATTATTGTATTGAAGTTAATTTACATCCTAAAAATGAATTATCATCTTAAAGGCCTACGGCCTACCCGTGGTTCGTGATTATTTTGCTCTTAATTTCCAGTATCAATATGGCATGCACTAAATAGTTTCCACATTTCCAATATCATTCGTATGGCGAAGCGGTCTTAGTTTCTACAAAATCCGTGGGTGGGAAGATGTGATTGCTAATTATTTTACGCGAATGTCGACGAGATTTTTAAGTCTTAATTTACTCCTCCCCTGGGCACCTATCACGTTTATTAAGCTCAGTAAAAGATGTATAGAATGAGCCATCTTTGTATACGCCTTTGGAAAGTGACATACGATGAAGTATAATGCAGCTATAATTAAGATCCCCCATCCCAATTCCAAGTTGTTCTTAGATCAGGACGATAAGTGACAATAACTTCAAACCCCACATCGAAATAACATTCTAAGCTTTTAAGGAAATATTAGGTCATCAACGTCGTTTCCCGCATATCTTCCTTCAGGTTTCCATCTTATACCAAGATATGTTATTTTTTACACCATACCGTAAAGTAGCTATAATTTTGTATAATTCAATGTTTGTCCGTCTTCAACTTGCTTCAAAAAACAAGAGGGTCCGTTATTCCGAGAGGATTCGGTTTAGCTTCTATGTGGTCCCGTATTATTTTCATTGATATTAAACCTTGGACTCGGATATACATCAGGGAATCCTCAAAAAGATAAAGAAAATGTAGAGACTTGACGATCCAATTGGCGTACTGGGTAGGTTTTTGCGCCAGAGGGTGTGAAGTCCGCACTACTGGATAAACATTGTGTGACGAACACACCGTTTTTCAAGTGTCTGGGTATTATACATGTATAATATGTCTTTATTTACCAACCGTTGCTTGGTTTGGAACTGGACAATGTGTATTGACGTGTCGTAAAAAAAGATTTAAAATCGATTGATTTTTTGCTACTTAAAATTTGCACTTATTAATTCAAAGACCTCAATCGTCTAACAGGCCTCGAGAAACGTTTCGAGTCGCAGCGCTACCTGTCCACGCCTGAACGGGTGGAGTTGGCGGGCGCGCTGAACCTGTCGGAGACGCAGGTCAAGACCTGGTTCCAGAACCGCCGCATGAAGCACAAGAAGCAGATGAGGAAGCAGCAGCAGCAGAGGGGTAAGCTGTTTCTGTAATGAGGCTAAAATCGATATCGAATCACTGACTTCGTCACTGACTTGAGGTGGCAAAAGTACAATATTTCCACATGACGCTGGTCTTCTGTAAGGTCGTGTTACTTTCCTGGTCTGCCAATTCGTGCATTGGCGAAGACTATTGCGCAGCCGTACCACATTTAAAACTGACTAGATGCTTTCATCATATCCATGCCCTATTAAAGTGTTCAAAAATCAAGCCAAGTTATTGCTTAAAATCATACAACTAAACTTTACCAACCACTCTATATACGTTAATAACTACTTGCAAGATTCTTGGATCAACATTCCAACTCACCTGCGTGCTCATAGTTGAACAACTCTCAAGAAATTGAAGTTTTGATCAAGTTAGAAATTGTTGCAAGTTGCCAATTTGCGAATAATTATCTTAGATAGGGAACATCGTCGGAACTTGAAGCGCTACACAGTTATTAGCTATAGAGGTATCTTTTATCTATTTTTAAAATTGTTATGATGGATGTTACTTTTATTAAGTATTAATAATAAGAAGAAGATATCTTTATTATTATTATTAATACTCAATTTGACAATGAAATTAATATGTTCGTAAGTTACCACCGGTTCGGAAAGCAGTTTCTGTTGAGGAGAAATCGGTAAGAAACTCAACAATTGCTCTTTTTTAAAAGGTATAATAGTCTTGTTTTAGCCTACGTGAGTATCAACAGTATTAACCCCACACATTGGCGTATTAATATGATGATAGCACTAAGGATTTTCGAAAAAAAAAAAGATATCTGACATAGCCTACTAAACATATTTTAAATGTTATTTACATCAATATTTTCAAATCAAGCATTTATTGACCATAAGACTGTACAATCGAGTGCTTTTTTTCTTTTTTTTTATGTCATAAATCACCCATCATATAAAATAAGTAGAGATATGCTACGACCAATACGCCGTAGCTACCTAGTGTTCTTTGCACAATTTCTTACGGTGATTTATGTTGAAGTTATCTATATTATTAAGTTAATAAGGTAAATTTTGTCCCACAGATTGTTTAATTCATTGTAAAAGTATCGTTAGAATGGTTAATTTTACAATAGTACTTAGTTATTGGATCGAAATATATAGAAAATCAAAAAGATATAAAGAGGTTGACCATCTGGGTCATCATGTCCTAGGGTTTTGGACGTTTTAGAGCCAAACGGTATATACAGTGACGATGGCAAAAGGCCTGACGGAATGACGCTCATTCTTTGGAAAAACGGGCGCACTTTGGTCTGGGATGCAACTTGTGTTGACACGTTAGAGCCGTCGCGCGTTTCGGGATCTGCTCGCAAGGCAGGCACTGCTGCAGCGACGGCCCTTCGCGAAGGCTATATATGTGTGCCGTTTGGCGTGGAGACACTCGGGCCGTGGGGACCAGACGCGAAACGTTTGTAAGAAGATATCTGCTCGCGTCTGGTTACCATTTCCGGTGACCCAAAAACTGGCTCGTACTTTGGCCAGCGAGTCAGCCTCGTGATACAACGTGGCAACTCGTCCAGCTTGCTGGGCACGCTGCCCACAGACGGCGGCGATTTGGCCAGGATTTTTATCTAGTTTAGTTTTTTTTGGTTAAATAAGAAGTTTAGTTTTTAAGTTATTATAGTTATATTATGTAAATTTTTTGATACCTATTTAGTTTTAATTAGGTTAGTTTATCATAATTTTGTATCATATGTACGATATTAGTAATCGAAATATTGTACATCAAATTAGTTTATAAACTAGCAACCAGCACTCATTATGTATTGTGACCGCCAAGAATTAATATGAAAATTAACGAATATCTTTAGTTCGATTTTTATGAGTCTTTAGATTATATTATGTGTTAAAATAGGTATTTAACATAAATTTAGCATTATCGGTCTTGTACCTTTTTTATCTTAAAATTGTAAGTAACTGATGAGATTCAATTAATAATTTTTATAAAGTTAATTGTAATTATATTATGAATTTATGTTATCTTTCTATCTTCATAATTTGAGAATTTTTTTATCTACAAAAGCGTGTGTTTTAGGTTTTTTTTTAACTATTATTTTCTATTTCTTTAGTTTATTTTTATGTCAAAAGTTGCCAAGCGAGAAGACAGATCACCTGATGTTAAGTGAACACCGCTGCTCATAGATATCTGCTACACCCGAGGGTTCCAGATGCCTTGACAACCTTTTAAAAATTGGGCTCTGGCTACCTCACTCATCAGACCAAACGTGAAAGTATCATACTTCCACTTTACGCCGGTCTTCTTTGAGGTCGTGATACTTACCCAGACGAGCCTGCCCATTCGTGCAACAACCAAGGCTGCTGCGTGGCTCTATCACCGAAAAGTTCTGTTACCAAAGCATGGTTTTTAATTTTTATACGGTTTTTCAAATGCGTACTTGGCACAAAGACATTTTCGGGTATCGGATTTGGAAAATCGCTAATCCTGAAAGTCTTGATCAGGATAATGGGATAAACTATATAAACTATTGGATTAACATCGATCCTTGATAGACTAAGCTTCAACTTAATTCGAAGTTTTGAAGTGGATCAAAATCAAATTCGAAGATACCGTTACGTACATACATCCACCAATCTAATTAAAATTACTTAATAATATATAAAATATCATAAAACAAAAATCTTGTGAAAAGGAAACTTAGCGTTCAACCAATTTGTTTACGACATCAACGCTCAATAGCCCCGCGCCGCGATGACGAACGAGATTGGAGACGAGCTTTATTAGTCCCGTAAGCGGTTTCCATCTTCAGACAATGGCTGCTTTCCCGAGGCGAGCACGGCTGCTAATTGCAGTTCTCGCTAATAGGAATAATGCGACACTGTGCTAAGCGCCCTGCAGTGTGCCTCCAGATGAAAAACAGAACAGCCACAGGGCTGGCGACACGTTTGCAAAGGAATTACACAAGTAATTATTAAAACTTGCTTATTCCAAATTCGGAAGCTTCGATTGTATCGATGCTTGGGTAATTTTAATTCTATTCTTTTTCGATTCTTTTAAACGTCTCGCGAATAATGCCTGCGTCACAGTGCGTTTTACGCAAAGTATGTAAAGTATGTAAATTCGTAAAGACGCGGTGCACACCGCGTCTTTTTAGACAAGGTTTAGATTCGTATAAAATGAAAATCTTATTAATGCAAATTGATTAAAAGTTAACATACCTGAAAATAAATTACTTTAGCAAATGGCGTTGTCTGATGAAGACGGAGGTTAGTCGCTTTAACTCGTAGCGACTAATCTCCATATTAGTAACCATAGCTCATATTTCACACATCGATTGTGATATAATAGAGATTACTTACTTCCACTTCCAGGTTCACCTAAGACTTACAGGACCTCTATGGTAGTTGTATGTACACTTCAACAACATACATTTTTTTCTTACCTGAAGTTGCACAGCTTGCAGTCCTGTAGAAGGGCTTTTTTCAAAAGATTTTTTATTACCAATTTTTATAGTGAGACTCGCTGAACGTTAAACGTAAAAATGACATTTTATAGCCATTTCTTTATATTTCTCTTTATCCGTCATCTCTTTATCTTATCCTTTAAACGAGCAATTCTTGTATATATATAATTGGAATCTCGGAAACGGCTCCGGCGATTTTCATGAAATTTAGTATGTGCGTAGATTCGGGGGCGAAAAATCTATCTAGCTAGGTTTCATTTTTAGAAAATGTCCTTTTATCCCTGAATGAAAAATGACATTCAAATATGACAGTAAATTTCGCTGCAAAAATAATGTTATATTAGCTCGGTCGGTAATCGGGCGGCCCCAAAACAGACGGCCGCGGATCGTATCACGATCATTTACACACTTATTTTCTTTCCTTTTTTTTGTATACCAGATCATTTTCTTTATTTTTTATATTTAATTCCAAAATACATGATTTACCAAAAAAAAAAACGGTCCTCCAGGTACTATTTATATTATATTATTAATATAAAAAAAGTATTTCTGGGAGTACTATAGTACAACTACGTTTCTTTAACAAATCCAATATTAAGCGGTAAAATTAAGAAATCTTGAGTGCTGATGACGAATTCACAAACTTAAATATATATATAAAACAATCGTACATAAATTTACCAAAATCTCAATGTTTTGATAATATACTAAGTTCGATTACGACTTACATTGTTAATATATCTTCTTTAACTATAAACACCACTTCATTTTGAAGATCTTTATCCACAAGTCACGTCTACTATATTTATGTTAACCCGACTAACTTCAATCTATAGAAATCGAGCCAAGCCAAATGAAAGGCATCTGGCAACCCTGTGTACGTCTAATTGACAGTAGCAAACCTCAAAGACGGGAAAATTGAATTTCGAATCGCCGCTTTCGCGCCACAACTCAAGACGTTGCGCGTAATTTGATTTTGTCGACAAGATGGCTGACGTCTTCGTTCCTATGGCAACGACTGTCTTGGAATTGCACTTGAGCAATATTCAACTTTAATAACTTTCTTTAAGAGCTTATTTTGACAAAACGACGCTATGCCTTTGAGTAATGAAGGTAGGGTGTTGATATTGATAAAGTACGAGGGGAAGAATATAGTGGCTGCCTTTACAAGATCTTAGAAATTTGAAACGAGTAAACATAGGTATATATTTATATAATATTTACAATTACAATTATGTACCTACATGTTTATATTATATTTATGTATAGTTTTTACTCACTATTTCAAGAGGTAGATTCTTTGACCGACATTTTAAGTATTATTTAAACTTAAAAATTAACTTCAAAATTATTCATTCGAATTTGCTTGAAAAATTATATTCTTATGGAATATTCAGTCATTTTCATTGTAACAAGGTATCCGTAATAAATTTGACAAGGCTCTAAAGCGTCTCTCTGAAATTTAACAAGATTTGATTCTTTCCAGTACATTATAAGGTTTTAATAAGTATTAATGTATTTACAAAAAAGAAATATAACAGATTGCTCTTTTTTGTCTCAGTAATTTAACATTATTTTTAAAATATATCGTCTGTCTAATTTTTAAACGGCTGTTTTATAATAAATGAATTCAAGATAACTTTATCAAAATAATATTATAGCTGAACATCTTTTCAGGAGCTGCGGCAGTCGACTTCACAACAAAACATCAAGAAACACGCAAGGTATAAAAATAAAATTTATACTTACAAAAACAAATTTTTATTTATGATTATTCAAAGACAACGTTACTCTATAAGTAATGGGAATAAGCCAGTCTTAAAATATAAGAAAAAGAACACATATGAGGAAGATTTAAGAATAACTATGTACCTTACAGTAATTTCTGAATGTTAGCTGTTTCTTTGAAATGAGAATATTAGGCTTTTCTTTCTTTAGAGCCGTGATAGTTCCGTGTCCGGGCCTCAATTCAATATACTCGAGCAACCTAAGTTCGATCTCCCGGTGCCGGCACCAATGAAATTGGTAATTTTAATTGCTTAATTATCACGTGCTCAACGGTGAATGAAAACTTCATGAGGAAACCTATGCAGGTATCTTCGAAATATATAACAAAAAAAATATTTCGAAGATATGTGAAGTATATTACTTTTTTTTACATTCTTCAGAACTTATTATAATCAAATTTATTCGAAGCTGGGTAAAAATAACATTCTTTTACCATGTTTTGAAAACGTGAGTGTGAGAACTTTATGCCATTCCCCGGAGAGATTCATGAAAACGTTGCCTGAAACGCGAAGAACGACAAGACACGAGACAGTCTGAAGTGATGGTAGATAGTTACTGCCAATTTCAATTTTTTTAATTTGCTAGTTTTACGTGGATTGCGGGTACCTTTTGAAGCACTCTCCCTCAGAGAAAAAACACAGAGGTTTTGACGCTTCTCCCTGTAGTTCGATTCATTTTGACTGTTCATTATGCTTACAGGCCGAGGATTCCAGGATATCGACAACGCAAACATCAGACTCGGAGTCGGAACACAGCGACAGCGATATCGATATCGTAGGCGAGACTAACTACGCACAGCACTACGGCAATGGAGGGACGTAAAATCTCACGAGGTCGATTCGGCGCGTTTAATCATTAAATAGAAGTAATGTAGCTCGATGTAAATAAAACGATCTTAGTTTATGTGCTTAACTTAGAGAAGCTCTCGCGAAATTGAGTTAAGTTTTAAACTTATTGCTTGCCCATGAAACACTCCTCGACTGTTAAAATTTAACACGCACGACGGTGATTATATAGGTGATTCAAAAACCATACCTATTTCATTGAACATAAGTAGAAATTTCTGACGTTCTCGTTAAAATCTCTACTTCTTAACATACTTTTATATAATATAGGTTAATGTATTAAAGTTTACTTTTTCTTTACATTACTGCATATAAAATTTTTACTATTTTAGGACATTTGAAATATATTTTGTTTCTATATTCAATATTTTCGTTAAATCATGATTGTTGTTATTAAGTATATATTATAATTTGTATTTGGCTGCAATTTAAAAGAGACGTAGCTGATTATTTCTATTTTAAAAAGCTAAATGAATGGATTGATGAAATACGCTTTATTGCACACCATACAAAATTACAAAAGTAACAAACAATTACATAAAGGTACAATTGGCGGCGTTATCTCTTAGAAGCGATTTCTTCCGGGCAACCCTGTTACTGAGGATACAATGATCAGTGAGAAGGGTTTGAGGTATACGCTATTGTAAATAATTAATAATTGTAAAATATTTTTTTTGTTTATTATTAACATACAACGGAATAAATTAATGCCGATCACGTAGTGTTGATATGAGTAACCATTTTTAGATAGCGATATACATAAAGCTCAACCTTAACTTTTAGTAAAAATTATAGTTCACTGAAAACTATTTCGTGCAATAAATTAGACACTACTTCTTGTACATATTTATTAATTGTTTCTAACCCTTAACTAATCTAGTCGGTTTTCTAGTCTAGTGCTTCGAAACGGAGTCAATTTAGGCTACAATATGTAAACTTTGTTCAACCACATCGTTTTAAATTTAAATGAAATAGACACATTACTGTAACTCATTTAAATTAAGTACTCATAATTAAGCACTCAAAAAGCACTCAAAAATTAGCATATAACAAAAGGCGATTTAAAACTAGCGGTTATCTACCATTTTGACGAGAACCGGAAGTGTTTTTTTGTTGGGATTGCGAATAATTTAGGAAAAATAAAAGTGTCGGTCAACTTATTTAGCCACTATGATAATCTATAATGTTCACTACAACCAACTAACATCCCCACAGTGAGTATAGCTCATTAAAATTATTATTATACCGTTCACTATACATGCGCTATATCGTTTATTAATATACAGCGTGTCGTTACCATCGCGACAATAAATGAACACACGTCTAACGCTATTTGCAAATATTCATAAAAAAATATTAAAGTTAAACAAAATCCATAATTAAAAAAAAAAAAAATTTTTTTTTCAAATGAACTAATTAAGTAAAAAAGAAACAAAATTTGTAACGCCCTATACAACTCGCGCCACAGCGTCGCATTACAAGCGTCTCCTTCTAACAGTATGATTTTTTCTCTTTTAAAATTATTCAACCCATTCATATGCTTTGTGACCTTTACAAATGAACTTTACGTTACAGTTTTATACGTAAGGGTGTTCTAAAATTACTTGTTTTGGAAAATTTAATAACTCTGTAAATAAATACTGATGTTTAAAGAATGTAAATGTTTAATACAATTTTTAAAAAGTTATCCCCTATTTGTGTGTTCATTTATTGTCGCGATTGTAAAGACACGCTGTATAATTTGATTAATTATAATTTTAACATCAATATTATTTAGTGTCCTTTACATGTTATGGGGGAGGGAGGGCATTTGCCAAAGATACCCAATCTTGCCCTTTACTTCACAAGCCTGGGTGGCCGTTTGCAATTCATTTCGATAGAATGCCTACGCACAATTACGAGTATCTAATATTGTTGTGCGATGTAAAAGTCTTGCGTATTAGTAGGCGACGGAGAATAAGCCGAGCGACCTATCTAAACAGCTATGTAATATGGTACACAATAAGAATCATGTACACAAAGATAGTCATTATAGCAATGAGTTAGCCAGTATCGTGCTGTGTATTTTCATAGCACGTTCATCGCATAGCCGAATAGTGGGTCGAAAGCTTAAAGCTAATGAGAGCACGCTTAACGTTCTAATTGGGTATTCATAACGGCCCTTAATAGCCTAATATTATAAAATGTGTGTTAGTGTATTAGGATGCTCATCACACCACAATGTTTAAAGAGATTTCTATTGAACTTAGCATGGATTTTAAAGCTGTGGTTTAAAACAACATATTTATAATACAAAATAAAAAAATAAGAAATCCAATCTCACGGAAAAGATATGATTTGAACACAAGTTTGTATATATAAACAATATTGTAAATGTTTAACCATTATTAATAAAGAAATTATGTTCGATCTATATATTAGTTTTATTTTTTACGATCTGTAGTGCTAGACTACTATTAAAAGTATTTCGTTGATGTTTAAATAAAAATTCGTCCCAATGGACATCATTTGTATGAATGTTGTAATATAACATGATATCATATCAATACCTTTCACCACTGTATTATTCGATTGAAACTTTTACTTGCTCTATCACTTGAAAACCTACTTAACTACATAATTAAATTACTAGCTGACCCGGCAAACGTTGTATTGCCATCCGAATAATAAAAAAAATATTTGGGGTGGGCCACCCTTATCACTTAGAGGTTTGAAAAATAGTTTTCGACCGATTCTCAGACCTACCAAATATAGTTATAAAATTTCATAAAAATAGATCAAGCCCTTTCGGAGGAGTATGACAAACATTGTGACCCAAGAATTTTATAAATTATATAGATTATAAATTATATATTGTGGTATATATAAATCAGAAATGTGTAATTGGAATTAGACAGTTATAAATAAATAGTAATTAAAAATATATTACAAACTAATCAATGCGTACTTGATTAGTTAGTAATATATTGTTTATAGGGTACCGTACCCATATTCTAAGAAACTAAAAGAAAACACTTAATTTTAGTTAATTCAGTAAGCTCCCGCCGAAATTGAAGTTATTGGAATCACAAAAACACTCAATTTGTACTATAAGTTGTGACGTGTGCCCATTAGGGACACCCTAACAAAGTTGACGCGGCACCGTCCCGTCCGGACGGTATAACCTTGTTACCGCGTTCCAAATCTCACGGACAATTTGCGACTAATTCGCGTATTGTTAAACGTCACCCCCACGAGCACGCGAGGGGTTGTGGAATAATTGTTTATTATTTATTGTCAAGTTCGTTTAAAATAATGATGGTAAGAGAACATTATTCCCGTTTTGCCGTCCTAGTGGATAATCTTTACATGCTTTTTACTCGAGACTTTAGTTAAACCTACACAGACCGTCTCTTTGCAATTTGGGTACTAGAGTTATTAACGGTGCAATTTAAGTGCTGACTTATCTCGTGCTCAGTGGTGAATAAACCTGCATAATTTCGAAATAAACCCGAAAAATATTTTGGAAGTCTGCCAATCTCCATTGCGTTAATCTGCAATATGCCTAATAAATAATCTTTGTACAGAGGAGGCCTTTGCCCATCAGTGGGATATATTTAGGCTGTTAATTTCATTTAGTTTAATGGTATCGTAGGCGGCGACCAAATTGTCTTGCTTGTGTCATATGCTGAGACGATTCTAATTTGAGCTTTTTTCTTTGATTGTTTTTCTTTGTAGTTTTCGTTCCTTAACCTGGCCGCCCGGCATTCCTATTCGCCGCTGTATGGGTAGCATTTACATATAAAACAGTTGGTATATTTTAGTGTAATGACGAATTTAGTATGGTAACAATCTTATCATATTCACGTCTCTTTACTTCATAGTATCTGCGAAACACTACTATTTTTTCTCATCCGAACAGACTTTAGTGCGACGTAATTTGCAAAAGGACACATAATAAATAATGCCATCGTCAAGGCACAGTCTCGAGAAGCAGATTATTATAGGCCAGATGAATGACAAACGTGCACATGGCAGGGCAACACAAGATGGGCTGGCGCAGTGAAGAACGCGGTGGGCGGAATCATGCAACGCGCAATTCACCCCGCCTACGACATGTGGTCACGATCCTCAGAGTTGAGTGACCGGGTAAGAAGAATTTGTAAAAGTGATAAATTATGTAAAAGAGTTTCAGTACGATAAAGATAATGGAAAGCTACTTTCCATAACTGTCTATTCTATTTTAGAGCCTCTGTTGGGATAACGTGACGTAAACGCAAAAATCATATAAAACGTACACGTTACCTGTAAAATCACCGCGATCAGATACAGTTTACGTAAAGTAAACAATAAAGTAATGGTCTATACATGTATCTAGTTTCTCTGATAAAGATGATAAAGCCGAAGAAACGTTAAATTTTCGTCTTCCATCTTCTAAAGTCGTCGTTCGGAGTCCTCGTGAGCTCTTTCACGCGCCCACAGGCGAAATCTAAAACGCTGTTACAACGGCCAGATGGCGAAAGTGGCACTATCGCAGGTTAGAGTCGTAACGAGATTAGAGTGAGCCAAAAGAATGGCGCCCCACCTGCCCGAACAGACGCCGAAAAAATCACATCAAAGGAGACGAGTAAAAGCGTGGCCGGCGTTATCCGATATGCTTCAAGCGACTTTTCTAACTGTGAACACCTACACACTTGTGTTTGCTGCGTCACTGTAAACAAATCTAGTTTATCAGTAGAAGCTGTTGAGTGTGTACTACAGGTAATAGGCAAGCAAGCTAAGATGCATCTGACATCGGCAGTCGCATCGATAACAACATTAACTGTGGCAAGGCCATGGAGCAGTCTTCGCTGTTGCACGAATGAGTCCTCCCGGGGAAGTACCTACCACAAAAGTGAAAGGCCGGAGTGCAGTGGAAGTATTATACGTTGCGTTTCGCCGTGTGAGTGAGGTAGCCAGCCGGGGCCCACTTTATTGAAGGTGACAACGAATTTG